AGGTGGATCTGGCAGACACTCAGTTCTCAGCCACTCCTTCAGGTCTGAACAGAGATATGAGAATTTACTCTGCAAACTGTCCAGGAGATAAAACACTCTCAGGGACCGGACGACCGTTACTTTCACCTGGAGGAAGGGCTCAGGGGCGTGGCCAGAAAATCTCCCTACACTGAAGTCTCTCCTGATCCCAGATCAATCTCCTCAGTCATTGATCAGTTATTGATTTTTTCTCCCCAATTCCCTCCGGTCTACAGGTCCAGGAGTTCCAAGATTCCAAAGTGTTTGTTTAACGTTAGCAAGCCTGCAGCGATACTTCAAGGTGGACTTGGTGTTTCATGGGAATCGAACTCCTGTTGACCTCCTCATGTCAGTGTGGGTCCTCCAGGCCCACTTTACATCTGACACTAACGCCTGTCATACAGTATCCAAACCCTGTTCTGTCAGCAGAAACAGACGAGTTTCCAGAACGTTCCATACTGTAGGTACACACAGTCGGTCCACTGACCTGTCTGTGGATACATGATTATCAACGTGACAGAAAACTGTGTCTGACGCTGCTACAGCTGGGTCTCAGGATGAAATATTCAACTGTACTTCGTCATACCATCGTCAGTAGTAAATGTATCACCAGATCACAGGAAGTCTGGGTATTCCATGGAAGGATACCTGAGTCATCTGTCAGCTCTCAGACCAGATCAATCTAAAGAGAGGAGTTCTACAGAGCTCTTTAAACTACACCTTCTGGATTATTCCGTCCGACTAAATAACCCATGAAGAAAAGATCCCACAGTATTTCCTGCTTTTGAAAGTAAACGCACTCTCTGGCATTCCCTAATCTTTTACGTCAGGAAACAATTTGCAAATCCATTCACTGAGGAACCTTTGTGTTCACAATGGGGTTTAGGCAAGTCAGCAAGCAGGGACTTTGAACAAAAAAAATAGAAATGTGCAAAGCAGATGACAGGAAGTTAGAGAGAAAACGGAGGAGGAGCAGAAGCTGCAGGAAAGTGGTAAAAGTAGAAGGAGAAGTGTTTATATCTGAGAGCAGAGCAGCCAGAGGAATTTCCAGGCTGTGGGTCAAACCCAGGGGCCTCTCTGTCTAATCTGTCCGAGGTTTGTAGTCACACTCGCATATTTCCTACATGAAAATGGGAGACGCTGCGGGGGCCGTCATGACCTCACACAGCCGAGTAAATCCTGCGTCAGCTGAACCCCTTCCTCAGACTGTGAGTCTTCACCTGTGATCGACCGTGACCACGTCAACCCAGTGCAGCTGCTGCTGCTGTTGTTGTTGTTAACAGTCTGACAACAGTCGCTCAAATCAATTGACAGGACGGGCGGCTCAGATAAACACCCCCTCCACCTCAAAAAAAAATCTAAAGATGTTCCACAGGTCAAAGGTCAGCTGGTCATCGTGGACGTATCAGTTAAAAAAAACCAACATAATTATATTGTCTGCAATACAGACGACGTGGAGTCAGTGTTGAATATCAGCAGTAAAAGTGCAGACACTGATGTCACCTCCACCTGGTCCCACTAGTCCACAGAGATAACACTGTGGACTAGTGGGAGCAGAGCACATGGTGACCGACGGGTGGTTAACTGTAGACCTAACCATCAGCCGTCCTCTTCAGATCACTGGACATAAATGAAACCTTTTCTCTGGACGGAGCGGTAGATAAAGATCAGCCGTCCTCTTCAGATCACTAGGCATAAATGAAACCTTTTCTCTGGACGGAGCCAAGACTGAAGAACGTTCTAGTCTTCTGATCAAGTTCACAAATCCTGGGCCCAATCTTGGAGATTTGTTGATTAAAAGATGTCAGATTTAAGCACATACATAAACGGAACGATCAGAATCTGTTGTGGTTAGAATCAAAAATGAACGTGAACGCGTTTCTAGTATTAACTGTCCAGTAGGTGGCAGAACTGAGGTACTGGAGGAGCTGATTGACAGGTTGCAGACCACCACCGACGACAACAACAACAACAACAACAACAACAACAACAGTCTGACAGATGTTTAGAGGCCGTTGACAAACACTGGAAGAACAACAACTTTGACAGAAACGATAAAAACAGAACCTGGTCTGTGTTTCCAGAAGGATGTGGGTCACGTGTCACTCAAAGAACACCAATCACACAGGTGGGAAACTCAGGAATCACGATCTTGGACCTCGGTGGTCTGTCCAGTACCAGTACCACGACCCTCAGGTCAGAATCAACATCCTCAGAGCCAATTCATCATTTTGTAGCTATAAAAAAACCAAAAGCTAGAGGGCACGAGATGAAACATATCACGGTACTGTTTTAACCTACAGGTCACGTTAACAGGAATCTCCCAAATATTTTTTACGAACTACTCGGCCGTAGTACATGGGTAGTATTCGGTTTTTCTTGACCCCAAAAATGTCCCCGAACTCATGGCCTACAAACAAGAATGACCAACTTTCCCACAACTGCACAAAAACCTCGTACTCCGCAGCATCCGCTCTCGATTCTCCAAACATATCGACACATTACATGAAGACGGTGGACACTTTCATGACCAGAGTACCGTATCATTGGCCCGTGTGTGCAGGCGGTCGGTCTTACCTTCTCCCTCACTTTCTCGCTCCTCCAACTCGACCAAACATCCTTTCTCTGATTTTTTTTTCTTTCTCCCTCCTTTCAGACAAACTGAAGCCAATCCGCCAAGTTTCTCCTTCTATTCCAGACCGAACCGCCGCCAACGATCTGTCGAGGATTCAGCGGTGGATTTAAGTCCTTTCCCCGGGAAAAGGAGCTCGTCCTCGGCCGCAAAGTTGGCGTCGCCGTTTGCCGTACATTTCATGTTTAAGTGGAGGAGAAAAGAAGGGAAGCGTCGCTGGAGAAGTTGCAGGAAGCTCCCCCTGCTCTGCAGTATGAGAGGAATGTTCCTCCCCCCTCCCCCTCGATCCTGACATTGGAGGAAAAAGTTTTTGGAGCAGGGAAATCCCTCCTCCTCCTCAACTAACTCCTCTTTCTCCTCCTCCTCTTCTTCTCCTGTCCCTCGCCTCTCAGTGGCCTAATCTGTAAATATTAACTCCAGTGGAAGCACATGTAAAATCACACACATACAGGAGTTTAAATTCGTTTTAAGCGGTGTTTCCAGATCTAAAATGTTGAAGTGTCAGCGGCCGTAAATGATGATCGTAACTTCCCGGTTCACCCCCTGGTGTAAACCAGGCCAATCTGATTAAATAACTTAAAAGTGCGAAAAGAAAAAAAACTGTCTGCTCATCATTATTTACGCTGTGTCGCCACGTGTTTCCTCGTTCGTTGATTGGCTGTGAAGAACCACACGAGATCAGACGCATGAAATGCACGGACCCCGGTGTGAAAATGAACGAATCCATGTCATGAAATGAATCTTCATGATGGGAACATTGTTATTATTATTATTATTATTATTATTATTATTAGTAGTAGTAGTAGTAGTAGTAGTAGTACAGTGTGTACAAATATCGTACACACTATATTCTTGGAGTCTATAAAATGTTGCCATTGTTTTCTATAATTAACCTAACTTTAATTAGTATCTTTTTTAATGACCTTAAAAGTGAAGCTGATTAAACAGTAAAATGATTTATTCTTACTTCACAGACAGAATAACCTGCACCACAATTTAAAACGACTGAGAGTCTTTGAACGCGTCTCAGTGAAAATCCTAGTAAGAACTGCTGTCTTTTTTTTTCACTGTTTATACAACGTTTCATCCAAAACCAACGCAGCTCTTCCTGTATTTTTCCAGAAATTGTACTTTGGAGTACAAATGGTACTTTCCAGTGCTAATGCACCGTCTTGGATCCTGACTTAAAAACACACACAGTCTTAATTGTTTGAAGAAAAACTGTGATCTGTCATTAAAACGGTTTATGGATGACCAAAGTGCTCCAAAAGTGAAGAATCCTTTGGCTGCTAATGCTGGCTGATCTTGTCAACTAAGTTACAGTGATCACTGTTTTAAATCACAACACATGGCACAATAGTGTCCCAGTGTAACCGACATCCGATCAAGTTACTCATGGTGTCGTTAGGCCCACGGCTGTGAGTCATGAAGTGAGTGAGGAAAGAAAAGAAGGAAAAAATGAAAATGACAAAGGCTTTTTGTGAGTGTGGGCCGTTTGCAAATAAAAAAAAAAACCTCAAACTCTTTCCAACAACAGGACACATGACAATTTATTGCTAAAAGCTATATTTTTGAACACTGTGATGTGTGAAGTTGTAAGACGAGACGAGTGTCAATACAGTCACATCCACATGGTGGCAGCAAAGCATTTTGCCCGGCCAATTAAAGTAGGTACTGCAGGCAAACAACACCGCATTGATTAAGATTAATAAATATAAATGACGTGTCCTTAACGGAGAATTATAATTCAAACTAAATCTTTTATTTTGCTTCATTTTTTCTAAATATTTGTGACTGCTGTTCTGGTGTGGTGTCGTAATACTTTAATTTTGTAATGACACTAAAAATGTGATGTTTTTAGTTTCTTTTTAATTGTGATCGTAAAATGAAACTTATATTGCGGCTGGTAATTTATGTATGTATTTATTCTAAAGTGAGTTGTTAGAAGACGATTCTTAAAAGTCCAGAAGCGGGAATAAATCGTCGAGATGACGTCATTAGATTTATAATCAGGACCAGTCCAGGAAAAAATCCCGAATTCGGTTTAAAAAGTGAAGATAACTTTTTGCAGGTGAGTTTATTAGTTGGGTTTTTTTTATGTATAAGTGTATTAAAATTCAATGAGAGTTACTGTGGTATTATTTTCTTATATCTTTAGCTTTGGTTGTGTTTGTTGGTTAGCACCGTTGCGTCTAATTAGCATTAAAGCTAACGTACAAGCTATGCGTTCGGAATTTATTGTTAATGGTGGTAACACGATGCGATCTACTCAATTATTAATTAGTAATTATTACGACTACAGTGTTAATTGACTTTAAAGATATCAACCGTTATCGTTAACCTTATGTTACGTTAACATTGCAGTTGAAGTCATTCATTTAATATGTGTTTGTAGCAGTAGTTTGGAGGTAGAATTTATGACAGGAAGTGCAGTAAATTTAGCATACTTTAGATTCCATTTTGTGGTAAAAAAAAAAAAAGTGAATCACAAAGTTTATGACAGTGGGTCTCACAGAATTTAGCCCACAACTTGATTTGTAACAGATTTTCATGACTGTACAGTGAGGTAAACGAAAAATAATTGCTCTGTTCTCTTTTTTTGGCAGACCAGCCCGTTGATGTAATCATCAAACAATAGTTGTATTTGTTGTTTGAGTCGCTGCCCTTTTCTATCACACATCAATGACTCACTGCCAGCACATAAATACAAAACCATACACTACGAGGTGACTTGAGTCATATGGCAGACAGTTTGTGTTGACTGTTCAGATACTACTTTGAAAAGTGATTGTTAAAAGAGTTCTTTAATGAAGTCCCATTAATAACCATAATCATTTGTTCACACCAAACATTTAGGAAAGCCACCAATACATCAGAAAGTCTGTGACACGCCACCAAAACAACTAGGTGGACTTGGAAAAAAAAACCCCATAATGACTGCACTGTCGTTCCTGTGTCCCGTGGAGGTGGGGGTGGTCACATCAGGAGGACTTAACGCTCTACTGCACAAATACACCTTGGAAGGAAATCTGTCCAAACTGAAGAAACTGCTTCAGACAGGTGTGTAACTTCTGCACTGTATATTTTTATGCAAATTGAACCTTAAGATATTTTAGATTAAATTATACTTTTTGATTATATATAATTCATAAAGCCTTACATTTTCCATCCTGATTCCACTGTGTTCTGTGATGTGTGACAGGTGTCGATGTGGACTGTGTGAATCACCTGGGCCAGACTCCACTGTTCTGTGCTGCTGTTCTGGGTCACCTGAAGGTGACAGAACTGCTTCTGTGTTACGGAGCTGATCCCAACCAGTAAGTGTGGACCTGACATTCACCACAGGCAAAAACTCACATGTTATTGATCAAAGCATATCCTCGCAATTACTAACTGAAATACTCGCTGCCTCTTGTCAGTTCAATGATCATAAATCTACAGTATGTATTAAGATAACAGTTTATTGATAGTACCTACTTCCCTGCAGTCGCTGTGAGGACTGGAGCACTCCACTCCATGCAGGTGTATTCTCCTGTAGTGCTTCTGTGGTGAGTTCTCTGTTGGACGCCGGAGGAGATCTAAGACGCCACGACGCAGAGGGCAGAACTCCTTTTGATTGGCTTAAGATTGTAAGGCAAAGAGACAAGGCTCAGGTGAGTCTGAAATAATGATGTTGACGTGAATTGAACAGATTCCCCCTGTCGCAGGACGGTAGTAGAGTAAGTAGAGGTGTAAAAAAATATTGATATACAGGACGGTAGTAGAGTATAAAGTAGAGGTGTAAAAAAATATTGATATGTCATTTCATGATACTCGACTGGTGTTTTACAGAGAAACATTTATTAACTCTTTATTCTGAAATTGTTTTATCAGATGGTGAACTTTCTGGAAAACTGCATTTCCTGCATGCAGCATCTTTGTACCATGTCATTAACGAAGACCCAGACCAATATGTCAACATCTGTGCTTCTACAACCGGCGTCTTTATTGGATCGTATAAAAACATGGTATGGTAGACCAAAGAACCAGGATGTGACATCATGTTCAATGTTAACAGTTCAGTTAAGTGACTTTGTCCCACACTGAAGTAACACTGTACATGAAAGAACAGTGATTTTAACATCCACATGCTGTGTTTTATTAAGTGATTCATCATCTACTTACCTGATATCATCTCTGAAGTGTTTCTGTTTTTCCAGTGGTTCTGAAATGCAGTACCAAAGAGGGAGAAACCTCAAGTTCTCCTGTACCACAGCTCAGAATCTGGGCTTTGGAAAGGTCCGTCACTGACGATGACAAAAAAAAAAAAAAAGGTGAAGCAACACAGTACAGTGTTTTCTGACCATTACCTGTGCATCACTACACAAACCTAGGTGTGTGAGAACAGGCCGTGCCAGGTGTGGGCTGTACCAGCGTCGATTCCTCTCATCAGTGACTGTCATCTGACGTTGGCTGATGATGGAACTCCCTTCTCTTTCACATGTGGCTCCTTGACCTCACTGACAAGGTCAGATGGTTATAACACCGTGTGTGTTGTGCAGTAAACCACAGATGGAGTGGACCTGGAGGTTATGACACGGCTACGACTGTGTTTTAGTTACAGCTGGAGAGGTTCCAGGGTGACAGTGAAGAAGCTGCTGGACGGCAGTGTCAACTACTTGGACCTTCTGATCTCAGAGCAGGACTACTGCAGGTTAGAGATCAGGATTGACTGAGATTCTGTTATGTAGGTCATTAGGATAGAGTGTGTGTGTGTGTTTGAACGCCTACAGCCAGCTGTTCCATCCACACCTGCTGCAGCTGATGGGAGTGAGTCTGTCTGAAGATCTGCTGAAGACCAGCCTGGTGTTTGAGCCGGTCTCTGATGGCACACTGCACCACCTGCTGCACAACAGGGTAACACATCTGTACCAGGTCACATGCCGTAGAACAGCACTGCATACAGAGACATTTGTCCTCCTCCTCCTCCTCCTCCTCCTCCTCCTCCTCCTTCTCCTTCTTGCTCCTTCAGCGTGTGGAGTTCCCTGTGCTGCCAGAGAAGTGGCTGCTCTCAGTGATGCTGCAGGTTTGTGAAGGGCTGCAGTACCTCCACAGTCATGGTCTGGTGATGAGGGCGCTGTCATCTCACAGTGTGGTCCTGACTGAGCTAACAGTAGCCAAACTAACAGACTTAGGCTTCATGGTCCCCAGGTAGGCAGCAGCGTAACTCTGACTGAGTCATTTATATGTCCCTATTAATGGACCTGTCCTTGAAGTAACCTTTCTGTCTGTCTTTATTATTTTAGAACTTTTGTCTGTTCTGACACTAACTCATTAATACACTCCTTACCTTCTGTTTATTAAAGAAAATACTTCTTAGAGTACTGCAGACATTTTGTCATTTTTATGTTTTCATGTTTTAATAATTAGTGCCTTTAAGTCAACACTGCAGGAAGTAATCCTGTTATTTTCCTGTTTTTATGTGTTTGTAATAAATGTGTATAGTTAATTATAAATGTGTGTGTGTGTGTGTGTACAGCCAAGACAGTCCATGTGTCAGGAGCTACAGACACGTGGCCCTCCCCCTCAGCCTCTGCAGATGGGCTGCACCAGAGGTTGTCAGACAGAAACCCTGCACACAGAAGGCTGACCTCCACAGTTTGTCTGCTCTGATCCAGGAGCTGTACACAGGTGCTTCTGTATTAATGACTGAACCACGCTGGACAAATGTGCTGATTATCACTCTAAAAATATAGGACTTTTTGATTTTATTTTAAATTAAAATACTTTTTTTTACAGACGTAGTTAACTTTGGAGCAGTGGAACAAAAATATTGACCACTTTGGCATTAAAATCATGATGTAAAGAAAGACAATAACGAAAATTAATATAATATAACATTTCCAGTGCCTTTTTTGAAACTACATCTGTCTTTAAGAGTCAAACGTTTTTTGATAAATACCGACATTATTTTGGGATTTAACCTTTGATGTTTCAGACACTGAACCGTGGGGTGCTATGAGCCTGGACATGATTAAAAAAGCAGTGGATGGCGGCCAGTGTTTGGCAGCAGACAAAGACATTCCACAGCCCTACTTTGATGTGGTCGTGAAAGGCCTGCAGTGGCTCCCACAGGAGCGCACGTACGGCCTGGAGCACCTGTGTCAGATACTGCAACAGGATATCAAGGTGTGTCCGACTGTATGTGCCGCAGTGTCAGTGTCATGTACATGTCACCTCAAACCCAGAGGAACACGACGACCACCCTGGTCAGACCCGGTGATAACACACTGTGAAACAGGCAGCAGCTGGCTGATGAATCTGCTCTCTCTTTTCCTCTGACCTCAAGAAGTTACTGGAAATGAGTATGAATCACTTGTTTATATCTCTGAAAAACAGAGGCTGTCTCTGGAGGATCAGCTGGCCAGGAGGCTGAGCGCTTATCCAGAACCAGATCTGGGGCCTGGGATCACAAGACGACAGAGAAAAGTTGGAAAACCACTACAGAGCGGTACAGACCACAACACACAAACACACGTCAGTGTTTACTGTAAAGGCTGAGCAGCCAAACAGAACCTGCATTCATGATACAGGCCCTACTGATACTGATGTGTGAGCAGCAGATTAAACAGACAGAGCAGTGGTGTGTATTAACATGATAACGATACCAGAGCAACAATACGATATACTGTAATATACTGTGACAGTATAGGCATGTCAATATAATATATTGAGTGTTTTTCCCCCAGTGTAGCTGTAGTTGATCCTAGTAAAGACTCAGTGCTGTTCCATCTGAACATCAGGAATATTTGATAAAAAAATCAATACACTGATGACTGAGGAGATTGATACGGGATCATGAGAGGAAATATTGCGATATATTCAGTGTATGGATACTTTCTTACACCTCTAGTACAGAGCGTATTAAAGACCAAGTAGAGAAAGTACTTCGTACCTGAGAGACAGTTTTAGTCTTTGAGACGATCAGTCGGCAGGAAGGTCTTCAAAAGTCTCTCCTGTAAAGACGAGGGCAGTGAGTATTTGACAGATCGTGTAGGAATATGTTTTGATTCATGTCAGTTAGTAGACAACATTTCTGTAGATCGTTTTAAATGATTTTAAAACACCGTTAAAACGGCCTGCGTGTCTCAGTTGTTTTCAGAGATTTAGAGCAGGAGGACTTTGAGTCTGAGGACAGATGGAGACACGTGGACGGACTGATGTATGTGAAGAAGCAGAAAGAAGGAAGAGATTGTGTTAAAGACTGTTACACAGACACACCCTCCACAGAGGAGACTGAGACAGAGACGGAGACGGAGGTGGAAGTGAAGCTGCCTCAGACTCCTGTGGATCAGCTGATCAACACTCTGGTGGTCGACCTCAAAGTGTCTCAGGAGCTGCTGAAACAGGCCAACTGGAGCCTGGACAGTTTGGAGGGGGATCAACCTAAACCACTGAGGAGGCTCAGAGAGGGGCCTGCCACAGCACCCTCTAGTGGCTCCTCTAGGTCACCCCTCTCTAGTCCTGCAGTTGGACCACCCTCAGAGCAGTACAGTCTCTCACCACAAAGACAGGACTGGACAAAGAACCTGAAGGTTCAGCTCCAGACCAGAGACTGGAGGCTGCTGGACCATGGGGAGCTGGACCAGTGGCTGAGTCATTATCCACCTGAAACACTGCAGAACTCTGAGCAGGACCAGCTGCTCCAGATCCCTTCACAGTCAGTACAAACTGACCAGAGCTTCAAGCTGCAGGTGCTGCTCATACCAGAACTCAGAACCATCAGAACCAGCACCTTCAAACACATTAGTCTTGTCTTGTCTTTCAGATGTTTCAGACCTGCAGATCTGCACCTCCCAGTTCTGACAGCACCAGTAAGAACTTGTTTTTTAACACGTAACTGAAAATGTGTAGGAATAATAAAAGTAAACTACGATTTCATGTTTTTCATGTTTGAATTGTGACGTCGTCTTTTCCCAGAATATGAAAATGGTCCAGATCCCTGTGAGGAAACACGTGTGGACAACAGTGGAACACACACACTGTACACAGCCAACACTCACATGTGAGGACAGACGGAACATCTTTATGTTCCTCTGGGTTTGGTTCCTAACAGGGAGTCTCTCCAGTATCAGAGTATCACTGGTACTCACTGGTACTCACTGGTACTCACTGGTACTCACTGGTACTTCAGACCAGAAGAGAAATAACATCATATATAATTATCAGCAAAAGATCTATGGAATAAAAACCTAAATAAGTATTTATTTAAGTGCCATGTTTTATATCAATAATAAGAAAATATTTACTGTACTCTTTATTTTTACTCTGTTTTATGAAGTAATCTGTCCTACATCATCTTCTTATCTGTGTGTGTGTGTGTGTGTGTGTGTAGGTCTCCATCAGACTGGTGTGTACTGGCTGAACTCTCCAGCATCACATGCTCCCCAACAGAGCCTGAGGACAAACTCAGCAGCAGACCCCCCCCTCCCTGTAACAGTACTCCACGTCCTCCAGGTGAATGAGTGTAAAAAGCTGCACTTCAGGTTTTTATAAAAAAGAAAAAGAAAAAACCTCCAGTACTGTAGACCATACTGTGGAGAACAACGGAGTATCTGTGAGTATCACCTGATGAAGTAGTACTTTAAGTACACTCTGTCTGCCTCTGTCACGTTTCCTCGGTAGTTAGAGTCCAAATTCCAAGGTTGCTGGTTCGATTCCACCTTGTCCCAAATCCAGGGTTGGAGAATGTCAGGAAGAGAATCTGGTTAAAAAACATCACAGATCACTGCTCTATTGATACTTATCATTTTTTACATTGTTTTAAATGCATTTCCACTGCAGCTGACCAGCTGTGAAGTCGGTGTCATATTGGTACTAAACGTTTGTTCAAAAACAGATGGGTTCAACTCAGGGTCCCAACCCATCCTGGAAAACCTGGAGACCCTTGAAAACATTTGTCTTTTGTCGGAGTTGTGTCTCTGTGAAACAGATTGTCTTTTGTCGGAGTTGTGTCTCTGTTTGTTTACCTCACAGCAGCTCTTCTTCTTCTTCTTCTTCTTCTTCCTCGTCATCTCTTCAGCGCTGACACACACACACACACAGACAGGTGTGGAGGCCACGTCTCAGCCTCCAGCTCTCACAGCAGACTCCGTCCTCAGTCTTCAGGGAGTCTTCACGGCTGGTCAGGAGGACAGTGAGGACCAACAGGAGCGAAGCCCCAGGTGTCCAGATGAGAGCAGCAGAGAGACGGAGGTTGAAACTGACGTCAAGGAAAAAGAAGAGTTTGAGAAAATGAACAACGAGTTACATGACGTTCTTCAGGAGGAGGATGTTGGTGAAATAGACGGAGGAGAGAGGAGTGAGGACGTGAGGCAGGACTGGGGGGAGTCACAGAGGGGTGAGGAAAATTCATCAACATCATAAAACACTTTCCACCAAATTTAATTTAATTTTTATATTTGAATACTAATTTGTTCTGTTGGCCCAGAAGAAGAAGAAGAGTTCAGAGACTCTCTGAAGCCACTGGACAGTTCTGTTTGGTCAGATGACACCAACAGGTGAGAAACAGTACTGCACACAGTTCACAGAATATAAAGGTCACAGTGTGAATGAGTGGATCAGAACTGGACCTTCACTGAACCGGTGCCTCACTAATCTCAGTCTTCATGTTAGTAAATACTTAAACACAGTAGAAGACTTTTCCTGGATGACTCACTGTTTAATGAAGAACACTTCCTGTTTCTCAGAGCTCACGCCACCCTTGATGAAGTCCTGCAGCAGCTTGTTGTGAACAGATCGACACACAGGCCTGGGCTGAGGTGAGAACCAGAACCACACAGAACAGACATGCTCCGTGGTTAAGGAAGCACAAGGTCTGGAAGGTTTCAGGTTCGAATCCACAGGCTGCCAAGTTACTACTGAGCATGGCACTGTCTTTTAAAAAGATATTGTGTTTAGGATTTTCTAAACAGAGTTGATTTAATTATCACATAAATGAGTTGCTTCAGGTTTTGTTACAGGTTTGTCTGTAGAATTGAGAACATTTATTATTAGAGTTCTGTTCTGTTTTAACGATGACAGTTTGATCTCTCTGTTTTATTGCAGGACATTTGTAGGAGAAACAGACTCTGAATGAACCAAACAACAGGAAACGAAGAGTTAGGGTTGAAAAATGATGTTAGTGTTCAGAAAGAGCTGTTCTGATTCAACCACCGTTCAGTGTGAGTTCTCTTTAACAGCTGTTGACGTTGACGTTTGTTGTTCCGAGGAGTGGAACCTGTGAACAGGTTCAGGTGTCACTCCAGTTTCATGACGATCATCTGAATTAAACGCAGACAGACCAAAACTGTTTGCAGTTTGAGTCTTTATTTACAGTTAGTATGACTTTAAATATATACAGAATTATCTTCACCACAGCCCACGGGGTTCAAGGTCAGGGTCGGGGTCGCCCTCTGGTCACTGATGAAGTCCAGTTGTACAAAGTTCAAATAGTTCAGCGTCTCTGACCCTTTGTTGAAGACATGGAACTTTTCTTTCCCTTTGTCCCTGCTGGCAGCCATGAGGATGAAGAAAGAAGTCACACTTCCTCTAAATGGAACAATCACACAGCGGTGGAGAAGAATCTGATGTGGACCTGTGTTTCCTCTGTGAGCTCCGCTCTGACAACCCTGATGGATCTGTGAACGCATGTCTTTTTACAACAGCCATCTCATCCTCAGGCTCCGCCTCCCTTCACCAGACGAACTTGACCTTTTCTGTCCTGCTCCACTAAAGACAGATGCTGCAGGAGGCGCAGCTTGGAATCACTGACCTTCATCTTCAAACTCTTCATCTTCTGCACACTGAGCGCTCCGCTGTAGAAGTCGGACCAGAGGGAAGAAAACCACATTTAATGTTGGACACCAGTGAGCTTCAGTGTAGCCTCGACTCTGGTCTACGCCCAGGTCTCTAACCTGTTGGTGCTGAAGTGCTGCTGAAGCTGCCTGTAGAAGACGTTGAGGTCGGCCAGCTGGATGTTGGAGCGCATGATGGAAGGAACGGTCTTCAACATGGCTTCACTCACTTCATCATAGTCACTGCCTGTGAAACAGATACATATAAACTAGTGGTGTAAAAAAGTGTCTTCAGATGTTTGGCTGTTGAATGAATGTTTAAATAATGGGTGTTCAGAAAAAAAACATTTAATTGGTCTAGGGCTGTGAACCAATTAAAAGATTTTTTAATTGGTCTAGGGCTGTGAACCAATCAAAACCTTAAAAAAGAGACAGACAGACTCACTGGGAGACTGCTGGTGTTCAGGAGCTGCTACAGCAGGGGGCGCCTGTTAGAAGAACATGTATACATGTTAATGAATGACCAGTGTGACTGTCCATGGAAGACCAAGACAACATGTCCACAGTCTACAGACTGGACCAGAGGAAAAGAAACAGTGACGTTATCCACAACAACCACAGGAGGGCAGTATCACAGCTGCGTGTCTGTAGTAAACATGTCAGTGTTGAAGGTCCGACCTGTGCTGTGGTCTGACACGGAGCTGAGGCCAGGAACAGTTCTGCTGCCGCTCTCTCTGGTTCTGTCAGTGGTTCAACCTGCCGTTTCACCAGAACAGACATCAGTAAGAGGTACTGACATGTTGTTACAGACTCTGTGTGTGCTGTTCCTTCACCTCCACGTCAGCCGTCTGCTGGAACCGTTGGACCAGCTTCATGGCCCCTTCCATGTTGCTCCTGATGGAGTCCATGGACTCCTTCTGTACGGCTGCTATCTCCTTCACCTGGGAGCACAGAGCTGCGTGTTTGGCCTTCAGGGCCCTGAGCCTCTCCATCACCACGGCTGGGTTCTCCTGCACAGACACATGCAGCCCTGAAGGTTAATGTATTTGACTTCTCCACCTGAGCTGGACAGATGTTTCAGTCTGGATTAATGACGACTGGTCGTCTTCAATCACCTCTGCAGCACATCCATTCTCTGCTGTAGTGTTGATGAAGTCCAGCCTCAGACGCTTCTCCATGTACTCCAGGTCAGCCTGGGACTTCTGGAACTGAACAGACAACGTTTTAGAAGTTTCCATAAAAAAGAAAACCTGCGCTCCGTCTAACTTCCCATAAAAAGTCTGAGTTCCAGACGCCACAATCAACAACATGGAAAATCTGGTAAAAGTCCTCCTTCAACGGACAGGACCATCATCGAAGCCTGCCCCCCAGTTTGGGAACCACTGGTCTACAGCAGTAATGTTGCGTCATCTTAGAGGATCACATGTTAAACCAGAAACAGAAAGTTCCGGACAGAACGCAGCAGCTGGTCTCTGCTGTTGTCAGTTGCTTTGACAATACTATTGCACTGCTAAATGTTGTCAAACAGTAGTGCAATGAAGTCAGAGCATCTGCTAACAGCTAAAGCTTCTCCATCTGTCAATCATGGAACCTTCAAAAGTTCAAAAAAGTCTTTGTGAGCACAGAAGAGAACTGTTTCAAAGCTAACATCTGAGGAAAGACATGTAGAAATATGATTATGATGCAGTATTGTGTGTTTATTCATTTTAAGTTTAAATAAGAACAGTTTGTTTCATATTTCATTAGTCCCCAGAGGAAGGTGTTGGTATTACAGCTGCTCCTGCACTAACGCTGAAGAAATGGGAAAAAATAATAATTACAAAATACCAAACATAATTATACTCACAGCTATACATGGTGTCTAATGTACATGTGAAGTTAGCATGTTTAATGAGCTCAGCTAAAGTGAAAAACTATTTTATAGTTTATGGCCTGATGTACGAACACAGGTTTATAAAACGTATAAACCTAAACATGAAGATAATCCGAATAAACCCAGATTAATACGTTTTTAATCTGTTTTAAATAACACAAAAACATAGTTTTAACACATTGTTTACCTAGTTGTACTTATACTTACACATTAAACGCGTTTCGACTCGACTTCCTCCTTTTTGTCCAGCGTAAGCACCGGTACCGTAACACTTCTAAACAGGGCGCACGTACTGTATTTCCATGCCATCTCTTTTTAACCGATGACATTTTCCAAGTGACGTAAACTTCCTTCAACGCTCCCTTATATATATATTCTGTTTTTGCAGTCGTGTGTAAAAGTGACCCGCAGTCAAACGTGATAACGTTTACGGACGTTAAAACAAAACATCGAGAATCTTTACGATTCAGGGTAAAGATTAAAGAATGTTACGATAATTATTGTATTGATTGGGAAAATCAAGGATCGACGATATCTGCCGTATGTTCGTCTCCCTCAGCTGAAAATGTTTACTGAAAACATTCCAACGTCAAACTCGATGTGACACCGTTGCGGCGATACTTGTCAGGAACCAAATCATCGGTATCGAAAACCATATAGCTCTCGATGTTCTGGTAATCATCAGGCACCGGTGTCGATCATTTAAATACAGAATACACTCAAATATATCATTTTTATGCTCTTACCATCGCCTCGAGCTTGTCAACAGTTGCCTCCATATTGAATAGTTTTCAGTCTGAGACGCGGTCTCGGATTGGTTTAGCTCTCAGAAACGAAGGCCGTTCATTGGTCAAGCGTAATGCAACCGCACGCGCCGCGTCGCTGCCATTAAGAAACCAGAGTCAGGGTTTTGATTCTTCGACTACAATTTTATTAACATAGTCGATCGTAAACCAACACAAATCGAGCTTAACATCAATTATAAGAAAAACGATTTTTTTATGTCCGATATTAATGTTTTTTGCGACGCTAATAAAAGAGGACACACGTTGAAAATAGCGAATAGTTGGATAAAATCGATAAACCTAGAAAAGTTCAAATTTCTTCCGAGTCCAGTCAAGAGCTCTGGTACTTTTAAAATCATCGAACTTTATTTTTAGTGCACTTTTACAATGGCACCAGCAGATGGTAGTGTTGTGCTGCTCCACAAAAGCTGTTGGACATGATTAAAAACAGGTTAACCATATTAACTTCTATGGTCTGTATATTTATCTAATATTTTCAACTTAACGGTTTATTGACTGAATATATCTGTTTTTGTATTTTACTGTGATGCGTGACGTGAGGGTGACGTTAAGGTGTGACGAAACAAACAGCCAATCTACAATTACACAAAGAAAACGTTTAATTAGCCTCCTGGTACATATATTCACAGATCCTAGAGGTCACTGTAGGAATTACGCTGTATATACACAAATGTGCTGGATGTTGTTCTAGGTTCTTTTTCTTAAAAAATATTTCGCTAAACATTAACTTGATGATCATGATGACAACAAACCTCAATTAAAGTGAAAACTGCTGCTGAGGGGAGCAGACTAAGGTTTCCTCAAAGTACTGTTAAAGTATTGTTAAAGTACCACGTGAACAGTGAATATTGATGCTCGGTGAATGTGCTCTGAACGAAATCTTCAGTGCTCTGTTTTTCAGACAGGAAGTTGTTTTAGATGAGACTGCGTTTAACCAGACGCTGCGACTCATCGGTAAAAAACTGAATATTCTGAAGAAAAAAAGAACAAAACATGGATTTTTTTTTTTTAAATATGAAACTATGAAGTGGACTCTGGAGTTCACATGACTGGACCTGTGGTCACATGACAGAACCCTGTGGTCATTCCTCATCACTGTCTTTGTGTCTGTCAATCACACAGGGTGATTAAAAAAGATGACATTAATGTTGTGTTATTGTTGCAGAGTTTAAGGATGGAGTCAAAAGACTTTTGAATCCTGTTTCCACACGGACTCCATCATGGACAGATGTCTGCAGTCGTCACAGGAAACTCCAGCTTCTCAGACACCGTCAGCTTCAGGGACAGATGCTGCGCGATCTCATTAGGATCAGTGTACAAGGCTGCTGGAACTCGCTGACGACAAGGAAGAGAAACAGTTCAACATCACAGAGAAATCAGCAACACGGCAGCAGCTGTGACTGAGGGACCACCTCAGACCGTCATCTTCTCTGCTCACCTTCAGCTCTGATATTTGGTTCTCCCTCGTGCTGAACTCTCGTAGCATGTAGTTCATTCCAGCCTGGACGGAAACACAGAACCACAGGTCATCACCACAGACGTTAGTGTGTCGTTACTCTGCCAACGATCTCACCGTGGAACTGACCTCGTGATAAAGACGGGTGTCATTAATCCTGATCAGAACGCCGTCCACTCGCAGGAAGAAACGGAGCAGCAGGAAGAAGCTGGTGGGCATCACCCTCTACAGGACAGACCCCAACGTTAATGTCAGGCTGCAGTAACAACACCACCGTGCTACAGACACGTCGTCACTCACAATCTTGACACTGATCATGGAAACTCCGTGGTCGTGGAGCTCGTCCTCAAACAGCAGAACCTCATCGAAGAACATGATCTGCTCCCGAGCCTTCAGCTTCTCCATGTCGATGCGTTCTGTGGTTTCGCTCACCTTCAGAGGAGAGGAGGAGCTGCTCAGAGCGTTCACTGCCAACAGCTGTCACACCGTTCTCCAGTCTCAGCCTACCTTCATCTGTGTTTCCTCTCCTATCAAGGTTCCTCTGTAGTCCGTGGTGTAGGTCCAGTCGTAGGGTTTCACCACTTCTTTGGAGTGTTCTGACTCAGCTCTGGGACCAGATCACAGATTCATGGTCAAAAAATGTTGAACCAACAACGTACAATGTGTTTCAACCTTAAAGAGTAGACAAATAAAGGCCACGCTCCTCATTTTGGTTCTCCTCCACATCTTTAGTCTCTCTGTGGATCATAGCACCACCCTCACCTGCTCTCCTGCCACTCCTGAGCACAGGCCACCTTCACAGCGTCCTCCATGTTGTTGACTCTCCTGAGGGCATCGATGGCGTTGAACTCGATGCCGTAGCCGTCGGTGTGTTGGATACGGAGAACGTTGTCTCCAAACAGCATCTCTGGAAGGGACGGAAGTTTCATCTCCCCCCCCAACCTGCAGGTGGCACAACAAACACCGTGTTTCAGGTATGAACTGATGTCACATCTGAACACTGTAGCTCTGAGCTGCTGTACTACGTCTCACCGTTCAATGTCCTTGGATTTCATGATGTGGTTTTTGGCAGCAGTAACTTTCCATGGTCCAAACGCGAAGTCCTGTTTACTGCTCTTGAAACTATGTGAAAACATCGTGGATGGAAAAGCCTGAAGAGAAAACACCGTGATGATCGTGGCCATGTTCACTTCACTGTTGGTGATGCTCCAGCTACACAACCCCCCCTGCCCCCCCTCCCGTCCGCCCCTGTCCAACACGGACGGAGTTAAAATATCGACGAATATAATTTGCAAGAAAGGCAGCTTTTAGTTTCTAATTTAAGAGATTGTTTTCAGTTGTAAATTTAGTAAATATATACAACTGAAAACCATCTCTGAACAGGTGTAAACGCGTCTGTATAAACACGATGATGCTAGTCTGCGACCTAGAAAATATCTGGAAAAATGATACGAAAATGAAACGATTCTATAGATTTAGTAATATATAATGTATATAAAATAAATATATATAATATATACTTACTGCTCCTCATTTATTTATACCTATTTAAATATAGTTACTGCTCCCCATTTATTTACAGAAGTAAAAGGTAACGCTGTTTTTTTTTTTACTATTTTTTCTCGAGTGTCGTCACAATTACGTCGCCGATTTAAAGTAGCCGCTACACATTAGCATTAACTGTGCTACGGTACAAAATCAAACCCAAATGAAGAAATATAACTCTGTTTACCGGGTGTTTTGTTGTCAACCGTCTCTAACATCCATGTCATGGAGGAGATTTGGTGCACGGACAAACCCGTCCGGCCGCGTCCGCGCCTGTCGCTCCGTGGTTCCTCTTCTTCTTCTTCCTCTCTAAAGCGTCACGTGATGTCACTTTGTCTTAAAGTTCAAGGTCAGCTTTATTGTCAATACCTTCACATGTACAGAACATACAGAGGTATCGAAATTACGTTCCTCGCCTTCCGGCGTACCTTTTGTCGTGTTACAAGTTAAACGAAACTCACAGAAGAGTTCAACTTAAGTCGGTGTTTATTTCTGGAACCGTTGTTGACGGACATGAGCACAAAACTGTTTTTAAAGTCACGTTAGGAATAAAAAAAATAACTTTTTTGCTGAAACTTACAGGTGAGCACCAGAAACATTTCCCCCATAATGACAACAAACTTCTGCACAGAAAGTTTATTTAGCAGAAAACAATTCCATGCATTTTTTTTCCAAAATAAAACCAGGATGAATTTCTATAGAACGTCCAGCAGACTCTCACTCCACAGAGCCAGGGCCAGGCTGACCTGAGCCTCCGGAGTCGGCAGCTGGAGCTCCGACACCGGCAGCGACCAATGGAGCTGACGGAGCGCAGGGAGGTGGGACACAGGGAACTTCAGGCCCTGGAGGAGGAAGAAAAAAAAAAAAAACATTCTCATTAACCTCACGGTCAACAATAATTTAAAAATGATCTTCCACCATCTTACCCCAGAGACGTCAGGCTCCTCCCCCTCATCGTCAGCTCCACCCATCATGTGACGCTGTCTGTTATTTTTCAACGAGTGTAAAACAAAAACCACCAGTTCTGTGGCCTCGTCCTAAAACACACACACACAGATTTGAATGCTGGTTCCGATACACTGACCTCGAACCCCCCCCCTCCCACCCCTCCCCCCACTCTCTGAGCTGTGACTCACCGTCTTCTCTTGACTGGACTCCACTGTTATCATCACATGGTCTCTGTCTCTGAAACACACCTGGTCCTCCAGACCAGGAATCTTCTCTGCTGTGAAACAGAAGAAGAAGAAGGTGTAAAGTACTGCCGTTCAGAAGTACACGTACACGTACACGTACACGTCAAGGTGTAAAATACTCCAGTTCAGAAGTACATGTACATAGTACACAGTACACAGTACACAGTACACAGTACTCACATGGCGTGAGCTCCTGCTGGCCGTACGGTGGCCGGCGGGTCATGAGGACTCTTCATGTGGGTGGAGCGGACCTCCAGACCTCCTCGCTCCAGTCGATCAGCCAGAGATCTGAGGCTGGAGACCAGACGTCTGCTGGAGTCGCCACCGTCACCTCCGCCCTGGACATGAACACATACGGAGGTCAGAGTGAGCGGCGGGGGGTGAAGGTCAGTCAGGGTCTCAGACTCAGACTCAGAGTGTGTTTTACCAGCAGGAGTTTCCTGGACACGCCCTCTCTCAGGCTGACATCAGTCCTGCTGCTGTCATAGAGCATGCTGGGAAATGTGTCCAAGAGCAAATCTCCCCATGACCTGAGAGGTGAACAGAGGTCAGAGGTCAGGTCAGCTCTCTCTCACACCGACCTGTTGTTGTTGTTGACCTGACTGACTGTCGTGTCTCACATCCTCTGGTAGGTGCTTAGGGTCAGGTGGGTGGAGTGTTCTACGCCCGCTGGAGTGCTGGCCTGGTGTATGGTTCCTCTGGGGAAGTACAGAAGATCTCCGGCCTGCAGTGAGACAGAAAAGACGAAGGAAATTGTCAACAATCTGACGATACGTACACTGTGAGACGTTTCCCCCCAGTGTAGCTGTGGTCCAGTGTGATCCTAGTCTGAACATCAGTTCCTAACACTGGAACAGAGGGATCTACATCTGGAATCACCAACAGTCGGTCAGTGAGGAGCTGCACCTTCAGTAGGATCTGGTGCGTCGGGCGTCCGATCCTGTCCTCCGACTCCACGCTGTACTCTGCCGACAGCGGGACCGTGGGCTCGTAGAGACGCCACTGTTTCTGTCCCTCCAGCTGCAGAATGAACACCTGCACAGAAAGACCAGGAAATGACATCACACACACAGACACGGATGACTCGTCACGGTTCCCGTCGTCGGTTCCCACGGTCCTGTACCTCCACGTCGTCGTAGTGGGCCGGCAGACCCTGAGACTCCTGTGGGGTGATGTAGACGTTGGAGCCGACCAGAGCTCCGAAGAAGGACTCCAGCTTCTCCTGGATCCTCCAGAGTTCATCCTGACCACAGACAACAGGGCGTGGGGGGGTGGGAGGAGTTAGATATATATTTATGATATATTTGGTTCAGATCTTCAGGTTTGTTTCTCCACCTTGAACCTCTGAGGCTGGTGGAATTGAACCGTCGCCTTGTTCCCATGAAACAACTTGTGGAGAATTCCACTCTTCACCCGTCCTTCCTTGTTGAGGACTTTCTTTTTGCCGTTGACGCAGCGAACCACGTTGACGTCCCTGTAGAACTCCAGGCCCTCGGAACACAGGGCCGGCAGGTCGGAGAGCTGGAACAAGGTCTGGTAGTAGGAGGAGGTGCTGGAGTCGGATCTCTGCAGATGGAGAGGTTTCTTCTCCCAGTACTCCTGGAAGAACTGCTCTGCTCCCATTGGCTGAATGAGGCTCTGGAACAGACTGTCAGGACTGTGGAAGCTCAGAGGAGACGCGGCGTCGCTCTGCTGAACTCTGACCTGTTTCTGTGGGAGCGCCTCCTCATGGCTGCTCCTCCTCTTTGCTGATTTTGTTTTACTGGTCTTTGGCATTTTCACCTGAGGGTGAGGAGGGGGGGGGGGCATCATTGTGATGTCACATGACCAGGGTAAAAAGAAAGTATCAAGTTGTCAACTTTATACTTAATTTAAAGAAAATACATCGGCACAAAAGCGGTTAATATGAGTAAAATACTCTTTAAAAATAATCCAAATATATAATTTATATCATTTTATAATAAAATATATAATATCACATAATATTTTAAATAACTCGATTTCTTAAATATTTGAACAGCTACATGAATTTATAGCAACTCGCCACTGGATGTCGCCCTAGTTGCACATGGGGATATTTCCGAACCTTCCGAAGACAAACTGGGCTGAAATATTACAGATGACGTATCGACGTCACACCGACAGCTCACAGACGACTAACTGTTCGTTTTAGTTCCATATTAAACTCATTATGGTTCGTAGGTTCAGAAAACAACCACAAAAGTCTGCCTCACCTCCTCTGCTTCAGCTGGGAACCAACTCCATGTAACACCACGTGACCCGAGTTTTGTGTTTGCTCAAATATGTCCGACTGGAAACATCAACATCAGAAATAGTTCAATTTGATTTACAAAAATAAATGTTTCATTAGTCAAAAATAAGATATAAATATAAAAAATGTATGTGTCCAACACTGTGACAATTACTGTTGGAACTTACGATGGGATGAATACGATGGGATGTTTTTAATCACCGTTTATTCTCGGTTGACGAAGTAACGAAGATGTTACTGTGAATAAAAGACAACGGAGAAAATACGGAAAGAAAACTACGAACAAAGACAATATATAAAATAAAAGATTTATTTTATATTTTTTATAGATTATATATATATATTAGTCTGTGTTGAAATAAATGGAGCCTTAACTCAGTCTGAAACATTTGTCGCCCTCTAACGGAATGTATAGGAACTACCTCTCCTCCACTCTTCGCCTCTTTAACGATGTAATGACCAGAGTTTAGGACAAAGCGCTGATCCATGTTTCTGATTTGGAAGCAAAGACTGCGCCCCTGGTGGATGTTTATATAATAATTAATCTTGTCATCAACTCATCTGCTAATTGTCTGTTTATTTTCAAAGATAAATTTAGAGTGTGTTCATGGATTTAGTTGTTCCACAAGTTTCAAAAAGGAGAAGGTGATTCTAACACCTCTCTCTCTCTCTCTCTCTCTCTCTCTCACTCACACACACTCACACTCACACTCAGAAGGGGAGGGGGGACAGAGGGGGAGCAGATATGATTCCAGGGTATTTTCTCCTCAGTCATTTTTTTGCTCCAGTCTCTGTTTCACCGTCTCTCACTCTGCAGCTTTGATGACGTCTTTAATGACGTGTTTAACGACAACAGGACAACGTTTTGTGACTGTTTTGTTTTTGTTTTTTCCGTGTTGTCCTGAGCACCAACTTGATGAAAAGATGAAGAAAGCTGTCGTGAAATGAAGGGAGGAACAACATTGGACGTGGACGTTTCCTGCTGCACCTGAACTCGTCTGCTGTTCGACTCTGTGGAAGTTTTACAGCTGAAAACCCGCAGAAATGAAGGAAAAATGCAAGAACGCGGCGAAGACGCGCAGAGAGAAGGAGAACGGAGAGTTCTACGAACTGGCCAAACTGCTGCCGCTGCCCGCGGCCATCACCTCCCAGCTGGACAAGGCCTCCATCATCAGACTGACCAGCAGCTACCTGAAGATGAGGACCGTCTTCCCGCAGGGTGAACCCCAACTCAACACCAAGTTTAGATCAGCTTTTTACCGCGAACGGTGAAGAAACCGCGGCGGGAATAAATGTAAAATATGAAACTGAACGAAGTGAAGTGAAGACCGAGACAGAAAACCGAAATAACACGTTTAATTCATATATCTTTAGTCGAAGTCATTTATTATTATTATTATTATTATTATTATTATTATTATTATTATTATTATTATTATTATTATTATTATTATTATTATTATTATTATTATTATTATTATTATTATTATTATTATTATTATTATTATTATTATTATTATTATTATTATTATTATTATTATTATTATTATAATATAATATAATATAATATAATATAATATAATATAATATAATATAATATAATATAATATAATATAATATAATACCAACATTAATCATCAGTTTTTGATCTGTGGCAGAATTTACTGTGAAAATAAAAGTTTCCCGGGAAACGACGTCATTCAAACGAACCAAAAACCTGAGACAAAATAACGACATTTATTTATTTATTATTACATTTGTAATCGCGGTCATCAATCGTGTTTTTAATCATTTTGTTTAAAGTGAACGTCTGTAAAAGTGTGTTTTATCTGCTGCTCTCACACACACACACACACACACCGATCATCTCAGAAACAGGAGTGAAAATGATGTCTAAAAAAAACTCAGGAATATTTTCTCTCTGACGTTTGTGTTTGTGAGAAGAAAAAAAAATCAGAGAAAAAATAGAAAATAAAAATTCCCTCCTGAAACATCACTGGAGCCGCGGAGAAACGTCAACATGTTCTGAGGAGAACCTCCTCCAGGAGAACCTCCTCCAGGAGAACCTCCTCCAGGAGAACCTTCTCTCCTTCATCACTTTCATTTTTTTCACTGCTGTGAATTTTTCCACGAATCCCGTTTTAAGCGAAAACTTTTATTTATTTTATTTCAAAAAAGGTTCAAGGAAAGAAAATCGTAAAATTAAAAAATCAAACCTGAGAAAATAATGAAATACAGAAAATAATCAACAAAAAAAAAAATAAATAAAAAAGAGAAAAAAAACAAAAAACAATTTCAACAGAGCCGTGAAAGATTCCTGTTGGAAGAACGAGATTTAAATAAATAACTAATTAATTGATTATTGATTAACGATATAAAAATGACTCATTTTAATTGGTCAGTGACGTCACCAGTATTTTAATTAAGTGATTCGTTTTCTTTTATTCAGGATGTGGTAGAAAATAAGACGAAATGAACTAAAACGATGAGAACGAATTCATTATATTTTATTAGTGACCGTGTGTGTGTGTGTGTGTGTGTGTGTGTGTGTGTCCCAGTCAAACTATGACAACTAGAGATTTGTTATCCGACACAAGTGACGCAGAAATATCACGTGATTAAAGCCACAGACCAGTTTTCAGAGAGAACAAATATTTAATATACGAATATAAATATATTAAAATATATTATCTATATTTGATCAGTGACAGATTAGAACAAACGTTTACACTTTAAGGTAAAACACGAACTCGATACAACTTTACCTTCGTTTTTGATTCATATAATAATAAATAATAATAATTATTAATAATAATAATAATAAATAATAATAATAATAAATAATAATAATTATTATTATTTATTATTATTATTATTTATTATTATTATTATTTATTATTATTATTATTAATAATAATTATTAATAATAATAATAATACTTGCAGTAGTACCAGTATGCAGTAGTACCAGTAGCAGTAGCAGTAGTACTATAGCAGTAGTAGTACTATAGTAGCAGTAGTAGTACTATAGCAGTAGGAGTAGTACTATAGCAGTAGCAGTAGTAGTACTATAGCAGTAGGAGTAGTACTATAGCAGTAGCAGTAGTAGTACTATAGCAGTAGTAGCAGTAGTACTATAGCAGTAGTAGTAGCAGTAGTAGTACTATAGCAGTAGCAGTAGTAGTACTATAGCAGTAGGAGTAGTACTATAGCAGTAGCAGTAGTAGTACTATAGCAGTAGTAGCAGTAGTACTATAGCAGTAGTAGTACTATAGTAGCAGTAGTAGTACTATAGCAGTAGGAGTAGTACTATAGCAGTAGCAGTAGTAGTACTATAGTAGCAGTAGTAGTACTATAGCAGTAGCAGTAGTAGTACTATAGCAGTAGTATTTCTCTGCTGTCCCATTAACGTCGTCAGTGTTTAAAGTCTGGATCAGTCTCTGAGCTCATTCGTCAACACTGACTCTTATTGAATGAGGCTGAGTGTGTGTGTGTGTGTGTGTGTGTGTGTGTGAGGATCAGGTCAAAGGGCAGAAAAACACAGGCTTTTCCTCTCTGTCATCATTCATACACTTACTGTGACCACACACACACACACACACACACACACACACACACACACGTAACTCCAAGTAGTTCTGTTCATTACTGTGAAGTTTTCTGAGTACTGAGTGAGTACAGAGTGAGTACTGAGTGAGTACTGAGTGAGTACAGAGTGAGTACAGAGTGAGTACTGAGTGAGTACCAGTTCAAACTGTTATAAAATCAAACGGTAGAAAAATCAACTTCAGTAAAACTGATAAAAACATCACTCAAAATATCAGACCAAACATAAACAGAACAATAAACTGGTAAATAATAATATACTGTAATAACATGATAATAACACGATAATAACATGATAGTCATAACCCAGGACGTTTTTACTGTTGAAGCGTTAATAACGATTATTAACATTATTAATTATAACGACCCCAGGAAATGAAGGTGTTTTTTCTTCAGTCTGATTCTGGGTGTAGTTTTCTGATGGTTGTGCGGTGTGTGTTGTGGTCTGTAGGTCTGGGTGAGGGCAGGGGTCAGTCCACTCACCCCCCCTCTCTGGACAGAACAGCCAAAGAACTGGGTTCTCACCTGCTGCAGGTCAGTCCGTCCAGATTGATTCTTTATTAATTCTCGTCCCTGCTGCACTTCTCTCCCTGTCCTCTAGACTCTGGACGGGTTCGTCTTCATCGTTGCCCCCGATGGTAAAATCATGTACATATCAGAGACGGCGTCAGTCCACCTGGGCCTGTCACAGGTAACACACACACACACACACGCACACACACACACACTGTGTGTGTGTGTGTCAGACATGCTGTGTGTGTGTGTGTGTGTGTGTGTGTGTGTGTGTGTGTGCTGCAGGTGGAGCTGACAGGAAACAGTATCTTCGAGTACATCCACCCATCAGACCACGATGAGATGACAGCAGTGCTGGGCTTCCACCAGCCGCAGTACCACCACTTCTCAGCAGGTGGAGTTCTTTATTTTTAATTTTAATACCCACATTATTTTAACACAAATGTTTGTTGAGCTCTGACCTCAGATGACCTCTGACCTCAGACGACCTCTGTCCCTCTAACCCGACAGATTATGAAATGGAACGTTCCTTCTTCCTGAGGATGAAGTGCGTTCTGGCCAAACGGAACGCCGGCCTGACCTCCGGAGGATACAAGGTGAGAGCAGACGCCGTGACCTACTGTGACCTACTGTGACCTACTGTGACCTACTGTGACCTACTGTGTCTCACCCCTGGTCCCCAGGTCATCCACTGCAGTGGTTACCTGAAGGTGCGTCAGTTCATGGTGGACGTGGCTCTGTACGAATCCTGTTTCCAGACCGTGGGCCTGGTGGCTGTGGGTCACTCTCTGCCCCCTAGTGGCATCACTGAAATAAAACTACACAGCAACATGTTCATGTTCCGGGCCAGTCTGGATTTTAAACTCATCTTCCTGGACACCAGGTACTGCAGTATCTTAACGAGAGAGTGAATATCACATATAAATACTCACTGCCGTAGTACTGCACGTACAGAGCCGTGTACTTCATTCAAATATCCAGATATTTCATTTGTTCTCCGACTCCAGGGTGGCAGAGCTGACGGGCTTCGAACCCCAGGACCTGATAGAGAAAACTCTTTACCACCACGTCCACGTCTGCGACGTCTTCCATCTGCGATACGCTCATCATCTACGTAAGTCTCAGTGCACCATGGGAGTTTCCTCAGCAGTCTAGGCCTGGATGTGTCTCTCTGCTCCTTCACTAAGTCTGGGACGGGGTTTTTTTTTCTTTGTTTTTTCTGCAGTACTGGTGAAAGGTCAGGTCACCACAAAGTACTATCGCATGTTGTCCAAACATGGGGGCTGGGTCTGGGTACAGAGCTACGCCACCATCGTCCACAACAGCCGCTCCTCCAGACCTCACTGTATCGTCAGTGTCAACTACGTCCTCACGTCAGTCGCCGTCTGAACGTCTGAACGTCTGAACGTCCATGTGATGTCAGCCCTGGACACATATCTGATTAGTCTGTCTGTGTCCCTGTCTTTGTCCCTGTCTGTGTCCCTGTCCGTCCACACAGTGAAGTTGAACGTCCAGACCTGCAGCTGTCCCAGGACCAGAGCAGACCTGTGAAGTCCAGTCTCAGCATCACGTCCACCGAGGACCACCGCAAACAACCGCAGAGAACCAGAGCGGTCAAGACGTCGTCCAAGCTGAGACCAGCTCCATACTCTACGGTGAGAAGGTCCACGGGCCACGGTCCAACGGTCTGATGGTAGAGAGACTGAGTTTAGAATCACTCTGCCTGGTGTTGAGCAAGTAGCAAAAACTCCCCGGCTCCCCCTGGGGGCACCTCAAAGTACTGTTGAGAAAGAATTGCTCACCATCAAATTTAAAATAAAAATTTCAAAACAGGCCATAAATGGATTTAAATTTAAATGTTGTTGTTTTTTTGTTGTACCTGCAGTTTTAACTTTTCAGATTTTTTTTTTTTTGTGCTACCGTGTGGACACAGCGTAAGGTCCTTCAGTCAGACAGTTCCATCTGCTCCCCACAGAGGGCGCTGTGGAAAGACAGACCCCTCATCGATCACCCAGTGACCCCCTGCAGGGGGAGGAGCTCCAGTTTCAGTCCTGAATCCAGTCCCATGTCCTGCAGCCCCGTTTACAACCGGACCCTGCGAGATCAGCTGACTGACGGCAGAGGAACCGCAGGTTGGACCACCAACGCTCCGGCACCGTCCAAGAAATTCTCAGGTAGAAAATGAACCCAGATTTAATCCAGACTTTTAATCCAGAGTTGGACCTGGTAGTTATTAGATTTTCAGGTCGGGTCCAGATCTGTGTGTTTTCCCACTGGCCCTGCCAGGGCCCGCGCCCCATATGTTTCTGTTGCTGAGACTGACCTCCGTTTCTCTTCTTCTTCTTCTTCTTCTTCAGGCTCGGTGCTGGTTGCCGACCGAGGCTACACTGGTGCGGGGTACCAGGACTGCCTGGACAGACAGACCAGCAGCAGTCTGAAGGAAGACCCTCACAGTCATTACTCACATGTCCACAGTGAGGCGCCGAACAGCCAGTCCCGTCATCATCCTCCTCATCTTCATCCTCCTCATCTTCATCATCATCGTCTTCACGGTGAAACCACAGACAGCAGAGCTCTGGACCAGGACCTTCTACCAAACAGAGGGGGCGTGGAGGGCCCGCGGGGGGCGCGGACCCTGACGTGGCCCCTGCTCAGTGGACTGGTGTTGAGTAAAGGAGATCGGGTCGGATCCCTGCGCGGTCTGGGTCAGGTGGTGCTGGAGCAGAGGAGGCTGTGTGTGATGGACCCCCCCTACGATCAGACCGCTGCTGCGGGGTACCATCACGGCCCCGCCCCTCATCTTCACCATCGTCATCAGGCCCCAGCCGCCGCCGCCGCCGCCGCCGCCCCGCCCAGGGCCGCAGAGGAGGACCGGAGGAAGCTGACGGGACTGGAACTCCCGCAGACGCCGTACAGGTCCTGGAACTTTCAGCAGGTTCTGGGGAAACACGGTTGCACCAAACCCCCTCCTCTGAGCCACAGCGCCGCCGCCCAGGGTCACGGGGTCAAAGACTCGGCTCCGTACGGCTGTAACAGTCGGACACACAGCTCCGGCTCGTCACCTGAGAGTCACGCTGACGCTCCTCAGTTCATCGGCACCTCCGTCATCATCAGCAACGAGAGGTGACGAGGACAGGGGGCGCTGTAATCCATCCTAATCTGAGAAAAGAAATATCAAGTGACATTAAAATCTGTCATTTTTAAAATGAAATGTTTTTTTAAAATTTAAATTAAAGATGTAAATTACACACACACACACACACACGTCGCAGGTGAAAATTAATAGAATTTCATTCTTTTTGCCGATTCTTGAAAATCAGAATAAATAATAATATTATTGTATCATTTGTAGTTTTATGATTTCATTTTTATAAATACATTTAAAATTAACAAAATAAAACATTATGAAAAAACACTTGAATGTTGTTGAATTTTAATTCCTTCGACTCAAATATATTTTGAATTTAAAATAAGTTTAAAAATGAAAAAATATATTTAGGTCATCTGTTCACATTTAAATAAAGTTAAAAAGATAAAAAGAAAAATAAGAAAAATATTAAATAAATATTAAATATTTGTTCTTTTTTTTTTCACATGAGAAAATTCAATGTTAAAAATGACTGTCCACAGACCGAACCACAGACCTGACAGGTGGTTCTGTTGGTCTGGGTCAGAGGGCGGTTCATGGAGGAGAACCAGAGAAGAGCGTTCTGTCCGGTGCAGTGAGAAGGTCAGACTCTCCGTGACCCCAGCTCTGACCTCAGCCGTGACCCCAGCCGCGACCTCAGCCACGACCTCAGCCACAAATCACACACTCTGATGTTGAGAGTGTGTCACGTATGGATGTGACCTCCAGTCGTTTCACTCATCTGTCTGACACACACACACACACACACACACACTCTCTCTGATCGGTCGGATTAACAGACGGTGTTTTTTTAAAAATAAATGTCTCCGTTTGTACAGGGTGAGTCTGTAGTGCTGGAGTTGAACCCACAACCTTTGGACTGAAGAGTGAGTGAAGGACACATCAGTGGGAGACGTCTTTATTTTCATCATTCTTTACATTGGACCCGAACAGGATGAAAACATGAACACGCTGACACACCGACACATGAATACATGTTTTTGTACTCAGCAGAGTCCGACTCCCGGCAGAGTCCTCAGGCGTCAGACACGACGAGCCGATCGCAGAGATGAAGACGGACACGAGTTCAGAGCTGTGTTAACATTAACTACTAACTAATTAACTATTAATTTAACGTTTCTGATAAAAATGTAAATCCATGAATTTATTTCATTTTCAAGTAAACTTTGTTATTGCTGCAGCGCATCTACATATGCCTTCATATATATTTATAAATATATATATATACATACATATATATTGTGCACACTCAGAGAGCAGTGACCTCTGACCTCTTCAACCCTGACCTCCAGACGCTGATCTTTTTGGTTCTAATGTTTCTTGACCAGAACCAGGTTCTTCATCATGTCAAAGGAGTTCCCGTCAGGTTCCACTGACACCAGGCCGTGTTCTGTGGTGTGAACTTGGAGGAAACCGTTTTGGTCCAAACCCACGACCTCCGCCTCCAGACCGTCCTCGCTCCAGAGACGCACCT